GACGATTATGGGATAGGACAACGGAACGATAAGTAGTTTACGGACAGGTCAGTGTCAAAAAGTCTTGAATTTGTATGCTGTTACAACAACAACCAAAATGGCAACTCATACGGGATATGCATAATTTTAGAAATTTGGACCCAACCTAACCATAATTCTAGAAACTAATGAGTATTTTGGAACACCAATTTTGCTAAAGTCCTGCATTATCAAGAGCACGAATGATATACCAGGGAAGACTGGTGGGTGCTTTCAAAGTGGTAACTCAGCAGCTCCTGAAATTCGCAAGCACTTTAAATGTCCACTTAAGTTTCCATCTCCATGTTGTATCGATACAGAGCAAAAATTTTATGCATGGCGAAATTTGTAATTTGTTTTCAAAGAAGATAATAAGGTTTTCTTTCATACTACTTACTTACATATGTTTACTCGGATATCCTTTTATAAAAAAAACCTAATAGGGAGGCTACCTATTTTTTTCTTTAATTGATAATCAAAATTTTCTGCGACCTTTCCACAATAGCAGGAAATTAAAAGCGTAAAATATAAAACAAAGCTTCAGAATATATAAGTAAATTCGCTTCAAGTACGTTTGTTTTCGTCCACAAAAAAAATATGACCTACAAATCCGGAATAAAGTGCTTATGGTTAAAGCCACAAAACAGCATTGACCAACAGGAAGAATTCCAACAACATGCAATGTATGCAAAGAGGAAGCATACTAGCGTCATAATAGCTGTAATAGACAATAAAACAACGAAAATACATACCCGGCGCAAGTATTAAATATATGTTTTTTCACCTTTCCGAAAGCTACCGCTAGATGGTAAGCCGGGGTGTATCAATTTTGAGTAAATTAGCGTCCTTAAATTTCGAATTATTGAAGTTTCAAGCATTTCTGAAATTTGCCGTTATATAAAAAGCGGCCGTAATTTTAGCCCGATTTCAATAATTTCCAACGTTTTGCTTTTATTTGGCAAGCACAATAAAAATACCGAGTTTGGTACAAATTGGTAGAACGGTTACCGATAAACATATATGTGATCATAAGTGGGCGGTACCACGCCCATTTTCCAAAATTTTACCATAAACGTATATCTTGGTAAAGAATTGTTGCATGCATCAATTTTATAATAAATTAGCTTTAATATTTACTGGTTTATCGAAGATTTTGTATTTCTCTAAATTACCGTTATATGGGATGTGGGCGTGGTTATTGTCCGATTTTTAAAATGTTCTGCCATTTTGTATGCTGTACCAAGGCGAACAACTGTGCCAACTTTGGAAGAAATCAGTGCAGCGGTTACCAAGATATACACATGTAACCATAAGTGGGCGTGGCTACGCCCATTTCCCAAAAATTTATAATATTCTTATTTTTCTTCTGAAAATTATTACAAATGTCAATTTTGAGTGAATAATCTTCAGTAGTTACTAAAATATCGCAGTTTTCGTATTTGTGGAAATTACCGTTATATGTGAAGTGGGCGTGGTTATTGTCCGATTTTCATCTATTTAGTGTGCTGTATCAAGGCCAGTGACTGTGCCAAGTTTGGAAGAAATTGGTGGAGCGGCTACCAAGATATACACATGTAACCATAAGTGGGCGTGGGCGTTACAATATTCTTATTTTTCGGCTGAAAATTATCACAAATATCAATTTTGGGTGAATTATCTTCAGTTGTTACTAAAATATCGCAGTTTTCGTATTTCTGGAAATTACCGTTATATGGGAAGTGGTCGTGGTTACTGTCCGATTTCGCCCATTTTCAATACCAACCTACCTTGGATTAACATACCTACATACCAAATTTCGTTGAGATTACTCAATTTTTACTCGAGTTATCGTGTACACGGACAGACGGACGGACAGACAGACATGGCTTAATCGATTTCTCCTTTCATTCTGATCATTTATGTATACATTTGTCTATATCTATCTCGATTCGTTTTGGCTGTTACAAGCAACCGTTATGTGAACAAAATTAATATACCCTTGTGCACAAGTGCGCTCGGGTATAAAAATATAAACACATTACTATGTATGTATGTAAGCATGAAAACCGGCAACAGATCCTGCGTCGGGAACTGCTCTAGTGCACATAGCAAATACATACATACACATGCACATAACTAATAACTACAGTTAACTGCCTGTGGCTGGTGTCGGTAATAAAAACATGTTGACAGCTAAATGACATAAAGGCGGAAAACTAATAAATATTTGACTATACCAAAGCAGAAAAGGACCACAAGTAAAGTTGTGGCAACAATTTGTGTCACGTTATGACCTAACTAATAAAAAAAATATGAATTTCACTGCAATGTATTTAATGATGCAATTGAGCAAGCAATGAGGATGAGAATATGGGGCGAATGGAAAAAAGAGTGCAATACCTAAATTGTCATTTATGTTATTGATATACATACATACATGATTATTTACTAAGGACCAATTTCAGATGAATATTATTTAAACGGCACTTAAGTGTAATTTGAATGGCATTTAGTTTTCTTTGGGTTTCATATCAACTTCAACTATTTAAATTTGCCAAACAAGTGGCAACACTGTTGCTTGTTGAATCAGAGGGTTTTAGTCAATGAATTAACTGATTTATGTAAAGAGGCGTGTTGTGAATACACCAATATGTCAGATCGGGGAGGGATATAGCATAGAGCTAAGTTAATAGACCCTTTCGCGGTTCATCCTTTTTCAAAGCCATCCTGAACATAATGTTTGTTAACATTGCTGGAAAAAGTGCCGCAGCACGGGCTGCAATCAGGCTCAGAGTAACCGGATGCCTAGCAAGCTCAGCGCTTGGGTACTCTAACATGTTTTAAAGTTTCGATTTTCAACAGATCACCCCTTTTCAGAAATGGTTCCAGGCAGCTTTTTCTCTTCGAACATTGTCTGAAATGATGATTGTGTGGGTCGAGATGCGTGAACTTTTTCACGGATTGGCCATTAAAAAAGCAATAAGGAAGCTAAGCGTCTACTCCAATAGCCAAGCGTCAATCAGGGTACTGGCCTAGCTAGTTATGAGCTCAAAATTGGTCAGGGTGTGACTATGGTTAAAATATTGGCGAAAAAGTGCACCAGTTTTAATTCGCCTCAGCTCAGCGAATATTGGGCGAGAACTTGTGCGCAACGGCAAAGTCCTTCTCGCCCAAAGGGATAGGGAAGACACTGAGAAAAATGTCAGCTAAATATATTTCTCTCAACACAAGATCAGCCCCCTCTGCAATGCGATGCGAAAAAGAAAAGCAAATTTCTTTTTCAAGCAACAGAAATAATAAAAACATATTTCTTTTTATTTTCTTGTGAACTGGATTCTAAACTTTAAGATACAGTTTGTATTTGTGGTTCTTAGTTTTAGAGGGGGTTTGAACCCCAAAGCCTACCCCTTGTGTATGTATGTATAAATAATATCGAGAGATGTTTAAAATAATAGATAGTATAAAGATATCAGTAAATCGATACTTTTAACACCAAATCGATAAGTCGATAAAAATTATTGATTAATATAACGATAACATTATACCAAACGATATCGATAACAAACAAGGCACTCATATCCTTAGTTAACGATACTGCTACTTAATACTCGGTACGGGCTCTACCCATATACTAGTTATAGATCTTTCATCAAATCCTTCCTAAATAATATAAAGTTCAGAGCTTTCGTTTCAAGATTACGCGGTGAATATGATTATGTATATAGTATACATAGTAAGTAAATATGTATACTATGTAGGTATATGTGTGTAGATATCTCTACACAGTGATTAAACCACCCAAACCGACAAAAAAATGCCCGCGAAAAGCAAGATTAACATTAGCCCAGAATGCGCACCCCAAATTACCCACAATGGGCGCACACAGATACGCATTAATGCTAGCAGTGAATTACCAGCAAAAACGACCAACAGTTCTGAACTAGGATAGCTAATTGTAATGCATAGTTGCCACTCATCAGCATTTGCTTAGCAGGCAACAACAGGCAGCGCAATGGCCACCAAAGCCACGCAGTGCTGCTTGCTACTGGCTGCCGCCCCCACAAGCTGGTACATTGGATCATAAAAGCCAATTAACAACAAACAAGTTAATAGTTATCTGCGAATGTTTTTTGTTTTTTTTTTGTTAACGCGGTACATGGTTATTGGAGTTACGCGCATGTCCTGCCGAATATCGCAGCATACTGGTGGCCCATAGACAAGCAACAACAAAGCAACAATTTGCTATACTTCATTGTGCATATGCTGTGTGTGTGCATGTGTGCGTTCCGATGTTCCATTGTGGTTTTGACCAACATTCACTAGCAAATTTTCAGCTTTCAACTTGCCTTCACCACTCAGGCATCCAGCCTTCGGTTGCCTGCAGAATAACAAATGTTGCTGCTGCTGCTGCTGCGCAGTGACTTCTGCTAGGCTGCTGTTATTTTACGCCACAGCTGCTTGTTCTTCTTTCATACTGGGTACACCCTTGTCTTTTTGTTTTCACGACCATTGAAACATAAAATGTACATATGTACATATATATTAACTTCTTGTGTTGGTATTTCATTATTATATTTGCTGTTGCCTTACTGACTATCAGACTGGACTGCCATGCATACGTGCGCAATTTCACTTTCTAAAATACATACTCATATTATCTCATATAAACAAACTTTTATGGCGAAAGCGAAATGAATTTTGCGAACGAAAGTGCTGTGTAGGTTAAACGCCGCCGCTTTGCCACACATACATATATGTATATCTATTCGTATCCTTTGGCTTACTTTGCTTCGCGCGTTTGCAAGTCGACCGTTGCCGTCACCGTCACACCGTCACACCGCTTTCCCTTCAGCCCCTCAATGCGCTCAGCTCGCTGGTATCCTTGCTGTCGTCACCGTCGCCACTGTTGTCTCTGTTGCCATTGTCGTTTTTGTTGCCATTGTCGTCGCTGTTTCGTCGCTACGACTTGCTGGCTATAAATACAAATGTCCTGGCCAGTATGTGGCTTAATGCGACACAGTAATCCTAGCCGTAGAATACATACGCCGCGAGCGAGAGCAGTGCGATTAGCCAAGTGATCAGTGAAAATAATCTTTGAAATATTAACAAACTTTTTTCTCCAATTTGAAAGTTCAACTAATTCAAAAAAGGCTTGCAAAATTTAAATTGCAACTCGGCTGTTTAGAAAGTGAAATTATTTCGAAATTAACTGACGTGACACAATTAAGTGAAAGTATAAGGGATATTTAAATTAATAACGGACAGTGTTTCAGTGTGCAGTGTTTCAGTGATTTGAATGCATTAGAAGGTGAATAACATAAAGCAATTTTTTATTATATTTTGAGTTTATGCATTTTTTGTATGTCAAGATATATGAAATGTGTTAAACATTCGAATTTTTATAAACCGAGGTAATTTTTTGTTAAAATAAAGACTAAACCGGCCATGTTTTATATCGTAATGTATATTCTACATATACAGCGAATACACATTTTAATTTCTTTCATGTTTGTTGATAAAGCATGGTGGACGTATAAAAGTCTAAGGACCTCAGTGTTCTGTTTGTGTTGAAAAATTAATAGGCTCCTAGTGAAATTGCACTTTTTTTAATTTTTAAAGGTGGGTGTTGCCAGATTTTGACAATAACTCAAACAACGTAGAATACGTGATAATATTAAGAGCATATTCAGCTTAAAAACTGTACATTACTTTCGATTTTATTAGATTGAAATTTGAACTTGCTATCAGTGCTATACATCTTTTAATGATTCATATAACTTATTAAATAAATTTTGTTAAAATTTTTAAACAGGTGGCAGCCGTCTTTAATATTCTTAGTGTTCATGCTAAATATTTCCTAATATTTTTTCGTTTGACGCCCATATTTTAAAATTTCTTACAGTGCCTTATGAATAATTTGAATAAACTCGGCTTTTTAAACCGACGGCAACGCTGTTAAAATATTTCCAAACTAAAACTTTGTTAAAAATTTTTCATACGACACCTAAATATACATCTTTAGATTCTTTGATTCCCTTAACTCAAGTTGCATTTAAATTTTAAAACGGGTGGCAAACCTGCTACGTGTTTTTTTGGGATAAAGTTTCTTAAAAGCCATTTTGATTGATTTCCATATTGAAGTAATTTATTTCACTTGTTGTATACATCGAACTTAACTTTTTAAACAGGTGGCAACCTTCTTAAAGTTATTCCCTTAATTCAAGTTGAATTTAAACTTTAAAACAGGTGGCAACCCTCCTACATGTAGTTTAGAAATAAACTATTTTCATAGCAGTTTTTACTGATATCCATATTTAAGTAATTTATTTAACTCATGGCATACATTGAATTTAAATTTTTAAATAGGTGGCAACCTTCTTCAAAATATTTTTTAACTGAAACCTTGTTAAACCTGTTTCGTCCGACAGACGTATTGTAATACATATTTAAATTATTTAATTCTGTTAATTAAAGTTGAATTGAGTAGTCCACTTATAAAATGCGCTATGTAACATTTTTTCGATTTTTAGTTTTTGGTGGGTAACGTACCAGTAATTAAAGTAGTTTCATGTCCACTAGCAACACCGTGCAAAATCTTTCTATATTCTGAAAAAATAGCATCAAATATTAATTACTCTTGCAAAAGTCGCAATCATACTTATTTATAAATTTTCAAAAGTCTCCATCTTCTGATGAACTTAGAAAGCTGCTTTAGGTCGTATAGACTCTTAATGTTATGTTATGTAATAATGTTAGATGTAACCTGTTGTCGTAGTGGTTTTTTTTTTAATTATGGCTTTCTATTATAACATCACATAACTCTGCTTGCAAGTGGACTACTCAATTTAGTTTTTAAAACAGGTTGTAACCCTCCTACATGTAATTTAGAAATAAAGTTTCTTCAAGGCAATTTTGATTGAAGTTACTTATTATTTTCATTTCAAATCTTCAAAGTATTTTCAAACCGCCACCTCTTTCGTGTGGTACTCATATCGGGATACATATTTCAAACTTGGAATTGCCTTAAAATAAGTTAAACTTGATTTTTTTAAACGGGTGGCAACGCTCCTACATGCATGTACATATGTCATAGCTACATACTCTGCGATTAGGTTATACATATTTCTCCGGAGCTGCGCCATCTGTTACACAAAAGACGAAATACATACATACATACCAAAATTTGCTAATTTTTTTCAAATTTTTTTACCGACAAATGCTCAATATTTGTTGAATTTATATTAAATTTGCATACAATAATATTTCTATTAGCGCGGGTTGAAAATTCGCTACGTTTCTCTAACCACTTGGGTAGGGCGGCGCTTACGGGTTTTCGCATAGCTCCCAAAAGATATATCCAAAAGCGTTAAATCAAACGATTTGATGGTCAAATCACATCGTCGAATTTCCTGGGAGTTTGTCGCACTATGAACGCGTCTAGTTTTAGGGGTATTCTATTACCTTGGCTTGATTTCATTTGTCGCTAGATCTTGTGTGCATATGTATGTATTTTTATCCATTTTGGAGCTATGCTAAAAAATTATATCTACCCTAGTTTGTGCCCTAATTCATTTATCTGCACATTTTGGAGCTATGCTAAGAAATTATATCTACCCTAGTTTGTGCCCTAATTCATTTATCTGCACATAGTACATTCATGTGTATGTGTATATCATTCCAACAAAAACAATAGTTTGTCAAGCAGCATTGCGTAGCTAAATTTGAATTAAATGCATACGAATTAAGTTTGTATGTAACAGTTAATCCCTACTCTCATAAATAAAATTATTCGCACTCATTTTGTAGTCGTTGCAGTTTTGTTTACCGCGCTAATTAAAGAGCCTAAGTACATGGATGGAGGGCGGCATCTGCATAAATACATATTTATGGATGGGCAATTGCATGAAGTTGCAGTACCTCTTAATTGTATTAGGTAGGAGGTTGCTTTAGTGTCACCTGCTCATACAAATACATACATACTAACATACGTTAACATTTGTAATATAGTTATTTGCTACACATGTAGCAAGCAGACATTATCCCCCCCCCATAGGCAACCAAACAGCATGCGAGTGCAAACATTTTGGTTAAATTACGTTGCCACAAATACAACAAATAAATACACACACACACAGTTGTTACCTTCTTTCGGCATGCTTACTGAAGTGCTGCACCGCACATTTGTAGAAAGTCATTAATAAGCCAACATGCATAGATATGTAGAAAATTTCGAATAAGCCACAATTACAAAATAGTTAAATATACACTACTTTTAATTTCATTTGTTTCGCCATGGCTCGTTGAGTTTTCACAAAAATTCAAATGCAAATGAAAGCCAGAAGTACCAAAATAAAAACACCAAAACAGTTGAAATGAATATAACAAAAATTTGGAGATGTAAGAAGGCAAATATATTTTTTTGATTGCAAAACGATAGTGGAGAAAATCTGCAGGCATAGTGGGTGTGCGTCTAAATATGTTCATATGTATAGAAAGATAGGTACATATAGGACTTTTGGATGTACATTTGAAGATACAGCTTTATTTACATAAAATAACAATAGATTTTGACTATAGTTTAGTAGAAGTAGCTTGGGAAGAAACGAACCAAAAGCGAACGAAATGCTTCAATATATATAGATTTCAATATGGCCTATCGATAAGTCGGCTGAGAACGCGAAAATAGGCAAGCATAAAACTGCAGTCATCATCGACTACCACCTCTATAGAAAATATTTGTACTACAGGGGTATGCAGGGCAAGGGCTCAGTACATTGCATAACTCTTTTTCTTGGGGACTCCATAAATTTTCTTCACATTCAAGACAAGAGGAGTAGACACTATAAACTGGCAAACCTAACCTACTTAGGCCGAAATAGATGTCACCTCCAACTACGAAAGATTGGAAAGGCGGCCTACTGTCGGTACATGATGGTGTTTCCATCTGCGCTGCTGGTTAAAAGATGGAAAAAGGAGTCGACTCGCCTGCCTGATAACTGCGGTGTACTTCAGGCGGAGATATTTGCCATAGAGAAAACGGCTTGTCTCGAACGGAACGTCACTTTATTTGCTGACAGCCAGGCGGCATTGCAAGACTTACGTTCCAAGGTAGTAAAGTCGAAAGAAGTTCGCAAATGTCGCACATCGCTGTCTTCACTGAGTCATGTCAACACCTTTCTCTGCTGGGTTCCTGGACATAGCGATATCGACGAGAAGGAAATAGCCGATGAGAATTGCAAATTAGCGAATGGGATAACTCTATACTACCACCGATTTCTGTTCCACTAATTAAGAAAACCCCACCACCATAACAAAAGACTATGAATCATTCGGGACGACTGTGAGGTCTCAAGATAATAGCTCCCTCTGCAATTTTAGATGTTGCTCGAATCAGAGATCGAACCCCCTAAAAAATGTTTTGAGTCTAAGGTAACCCCTAACTACCTGAATGTGTAGGTGGGCCGAAAGAAAGATGCTGTTCAGGTTTGGTCTTATTTTAGCTTATTTAATACTTTATTCCATTTTTTTTGTCTTTTTTCGGATTTGAGTATTGCTTTTTCCACCGTAGCCGAGTGCTTAGAGGTCTTTCAAATAGCGGTCGGCCTACATGATCACGGATCTGCAATTCGAGTTGAATTTCGGAGCTTCTATAAATAGAGGTCGAAGGTTGGCGTGCCGGCTTGAGGAGGGCTGACGCGGCGAGTGTTTCCATAGGTGGGTCGTAGATGGGCGTGTGTGTAGTCGATCTTAGTAAATCCTATAAGCGGCCAGACTATTGCAGCATCTTAAACGAATGATTGACAATCTCGCTGCGAAAAGGCAATATTTTTGCACACGGATGTGCGCTTGTACTGGGTTCCTCGGGTATACCGATGCAACGTCAACTAGGTGGCCGACACATTCGTCAAATAAGGCTTTCTATCGAAAAAAGTACAGATATGGGTGGTGCCGATTTCCCCATTAAATGGGAGCACGACCTCAGCACGTTCCCACAGACATAAAAGCCGTTGCCCAAATCACGTAATTGCCACGGATAAGGACCATGTAAGGACGAAATAACATACTGGCCACTGTTGGTTGGCTTTCCACGGAAGAAGATAAAATTGGAGATGTGTTGGAGTAGAAAGAGGAACCCATCTTCTGTGCGAAATCTGCCCTTAGAACAATACAGATTAGTCTCCTGGTAACGGGCTTTTTGCCGAATATGGAGGCTGTATGGATTTTAATGGTTTATGCGGAGCCACGTGGTGCCTATTCAGCCTAACCTAGCCTTATCCCTAAATACTTGACCCTATTAGAAATTTCCAA